ACACATCAGAAGGTAAGATCACACACCAGTAGGTAAGATCACACATCAGTAGGTTACAATAACACTTCAGAGGGTAAGATCACACATCAGTAAGTTACAATAACACATCAGAAGGTAAGATCACACACCAGTAGGTAAGATCACACATCAGTAGGTTACAATAACACTTCAGAGGGTAAGATCACAAACCAGTAGGTTACAATAACACATCAGAAGGTAAGATCACACACCAGTAGGTAAGATCACACATCAGTAGGTAAGATCACACATCAGTAGGTAAGATCACACACCAGTAGGTACGATCACACATCAGTAGGTAAGATCACACATCAGTAGGTAAGATCACACACCAGTAGGTTACAATAACACTTCAGAGGGTAAGATCACACACCAGTAGGTTACAATAACACATCAGAAGGTAAGATCACACATCAGTAGGTTACAATAACACATCATTAGGTAAGATCACACACCAGTAGGTTACAATAACACATCAGAAGGTAAGATCACACACCAGTAGGTTACAATAACACATCAGTAGGTAAGATCACACACCAGTAGGTAAGATCACACATCTTTAGGTAAGATCACACATCAATAGGTTACAATAATCTTCTGAAGGTAAGATCACAGGGTTACAATACGATAAGGTGCTTACATGAACTCAAGTCAGTGTCTCTGTAGTACATTAAAGTGACCTTTTACTGCTTATCATTAAAAAAAGCTGATTGAAATATTTTGTTCCAGACCAACTGTAAGTTTACAACCTTTATTGTTATTTGACTTTTCTTAATTTTGACGTATTGGCAAAAAAAAAAAAAAAATAAAAAAAACAAGGATGGGATCGATCATAAAAGATTAGGGTATCATAACGAATTAGAGACACAAAGGGTCGGTCTACGTTTTGTTTGTCGTCGTGCGCCGTGTCCATCCGCCATGCGTAAAAGGTGCTGATATTATGTCTGTATTATGCTGAAAGGAAGGACTACCAAGTTTGTTCACATTTTAACCTTGACCCACTTTCAAGGTCACAGGTTTTGAACATGTTAAAATCTTTGAAAGACTTCTCAATAACCCCTATGGGGTTGATATTGTGCCTGTGGCATGCTATGATGAAGCAGTACCACGTTTGTTAATATGAATGAACTTGACAAACTTTCCAGGTCACAGGGGATAAATGTTTTAAAGTGATTAGAACAGTTTTCCATACCCGAAAGGGCTATGATGCTGATATTGGGCTTTTAACATTGTGGCTTGAAAGGCTACCAAGTTTGTCACTGTGGTTACATATGTTAAAATCTTTCAACGACTTCTCAATAATCAAAAAGCCCAGGGTGCTATTGTAGGATGGAGGGTTATCAATTGTGTTCATTTTATTGACCATGTCCTATTTTAAAGGTCACAGCGATCAATATTTTATAATTTTCATAACCAAAAGTCAAGGCTGTTGATATTGTTTTTTTTTAAATAACTGGACGAAGGGCTGCCAAATTTTCTTTTTTTTATTTGACCTTGACATATTTACACGGTCTCTGGGGTCAAATGATTTTAGATATTAAAATTTCTTCTTTCAACAAGCAATTTTTTCTTAATCAGAAGAAATTGTTTAAATGTTTTGACAAAACCCCAGTGACCTTGATTTTGGTTCAAGATCACTCCATTTTGCAAAGTTTATCCGTTAAACCTCTCAGCCAAATATCATGTTTCTGCGCCTTCTGGTTAATCATCACAAATCGTTTTAAGGTTTTTCCACATTTTACTCTGTTACCGTGAATATGGATCAAGGTAATTGCTTTTCCGCAAACTTTTTCGAGATTCATACTAGGAACATGTAAGCCAAATATGCTTCTGGGCGTTTTTGTTTGTCAGAAGAAGTTGTTTAAATGTTTTAACAAATTTGACGCCTATGATATTAAATGTGTTTTAAAATATGTTTGAAATACCGGTCTCACTCCATTCGAGAGGGCTGGGTTTTCGCAGACAAAGCATCCCTTATTCCTCGGTAATTTCAAACCTTGGAGCGATTTTTATTTTCGTGTTCATAACAAACGGCTTGAAACTATCATCGGCTTGCTTAAAAGTGTATGGCGATACAACAAAAATATCCATGTCTCTCGCGGTCACGATGCTTGAACATATTTGCATATACATATGACTTTCCCAGCGTAAAACACGCCTATAGCTGTAGACATGTGACACAGGAATGTTACAGTAAAATTGCGAATATCATTTTTATGTTGGCTGGATGTACATCTGAAGACTGAGGGTCTACAGCCATATTTAGATAACTAGTTGTATAATTCCAGCTACTATTTTAACTCCAGCAATGCCAAAAAGTAAATTTTGGAGGTAAGTACCGAACTTCGTACAATGTATCTTCTTGTCATCAACATCAGTTGATCACTTTGATAAGAAAAACGTACCACATACAGAAGTTCTACAGGGTAAGGCGGGCGTTACTCAGTGTCGGTACATCGTCTTGAAGCTTGAGTTATATGGATGTTTTTTATATATACATAATCAGCGATATATGGATGCTCTCAACTGTCTTTGTCATTTAATATAAAACTAGAGATAATTGAGGGATATATTAGAATGTATAGATTGATTATTGAATATATATGTGAAAATGATAAATTAACCTAAACACGTAAACTTACAATTCTATTGTGAAAGGCTGAATTATCATAAAAATAAAATACATTTTTGAAAACAAATAAGATCTGTAAACAATTATCAACAGCACTTCAAAACACATTTGTTACTTGTTAACAAATATTTTGTATGATAGTGAAAAAAATATATATAACCAAGTGATATCTATGCGTACATACATGTGTCTATGAGCAAATCATTACAAATCCATCGCTCTTCTGATTCCAACGGCAAGCATTTCTCCTCTTTAATAAAGTATAAAGTCAGCGATATTTGATATTCTGATTCCAACGGCAAGCATTTCTCCTCTTTAATAAAGTATAAAGTCAGCGATATTTGATATTCTGATTCCAACGGCAAGCATTTCTCCTCTTTAATAAAGTATAAAGTCAGCGATATTTGATATTCTGATTCCAACGGCAAGCATTTCTCCTCTTTAATAAAGTATAAAGTCAGCGATATTTGATATTTTTGTTTTAAAGTATAAAGTCAGCGATATTTGATATTCTGATTCCAACGGCAAGCATTTCTCCTCTTTAATGATGTATAAAGTCAGCGATATTTGTGATGTTTTTGTTTTGATTTAATACCCGTACTAGAGAAGGCCATTTTGTAATTTTAGCTCTTGTTTCAAAGAAATAACAATCATTTATCATATCAACTTAAATTTGTTCGAATTTGGAATTTTTTTTAAACTGTGTTGTTCTATCCTTGCTGTCGATGATTTTTGTTTTGTATACAGTGGTTCTTTCCAATTTGACTATTTCTTTGATGATTTTTTGAAAGATTATGTTTATATAAGTCTCCTTTATGTGTGTGTTTCAGCGCATATAGACTTACTTTATCTATTCTTTGAAGCATTCTTATTTGTTCAAAAATGGAAGAGTTATAGCACTTTGATCATTTCAGAATGAACAGATAGAAAATTGTTAATTAATGTATTTGATTTGCTTGTATCTGACATATAAATATCTTTATGCAACCATGCAAAATTTTTTGCCTGATGATTTTTGCTATATATATAGAATCTATCAATTACTTTGGTTTTATTTTTATTTAGGCAATTCAAACCATTGATACCAGTATTTATTACTTGTTGGTCAAGGGAGATAACTCAAACAAAAATTGTTAAAAAATGTAGGTAGGTGACTGACCCATTGTTTTAATTTCATGGCAATAATCACCAATGTATAATATTTATTGGTGCTGATAATAGAAAAAAATGTCAGCAGAAATATGGTAGATTTTCATTTGATGTTAAGTGAAACGTTAGCTTTTTTGTAATAATTTTATTTACTAGATACGATATTTATTTCGAAAAAAATACATTTCATGCTTGAAACAGAATTTTGCCTGCTTATTAAAAAAAAGACACTAGGTGTTAATCAAGAAAGGAAGAGATGATCATAGACACTATAAATTATCACAGAGTATTTATGATAAGAAAAAAGACGACGTGTTAGAGTGAAAAAGGTCTAAAATACATCGAGATCACAAACGAAGTTCAGCAATATGCCATAAGAAAACGAAGGAACTCGGCTGTAGGTTTGAAGCTCAGGTAGGACACCACTTTTGTTGTTGTTGTTTCTGTTTGTTTTTTAATTTATCTTTTCCTCAATTAGACTATATTTTGCTATGAAAATGGGGAATGTCAATTCATTTTCCGAAATCGTTTTCTTTTTCTTTTCTTTGATGGCTATGTTTACGTCTTGACCACTGTATTGTGTCACTGGATCACTTGTTCAATATAAGAAAAGGTTAAAGAAAACATGTATCATTTATTAGACACATCTGAATTTTAAATACAATGATATATAAATATTTCTCGTCGGTTAGCTTGTAATAATTACGATGAGAAACAATAGGAATGATACTTAGAATAATACCAATAGGTCTTTTCACCAGATGATAAAAAGTTCTGAAGTAAATCAATGTATCAAAACATACATCGACAGAATGGAACATAAAATTGGAGACTCTGCTTACCATTTTAAAAAACACCTTTGGAACATCCAAAATAAACTAATTTTAATGCATGTATTAAATATACAAACATTTCTTCCAGTGTATTCGAAAGTTTTTAATATTGACAGATTGGGCAATTGGAATTATTAAAGCTATATACATTTACATAAACAAAGGTGATAAACACGATTTTGATAATTGCCCTAGTACCATGCCTCAGTAAATTATTTGCGTCTATAATATATAATAATCAACAGGCAGACTGAACTAGTAGATGGAATTAACATTATAAGTACAAGCTGCTCTTTATATTGTTGGTCGGGTGGCACAGTGGTAACGCACTCGCCTTTCACCTAGAGGTCCGGGGTTTGATTCTCATAATGGATGTGAAAAGGTATGGGGTCACCTGCCCGACCACGTGTTATATTTCAACAGGTGCTCCGGTTTCCTTCCACGGTAATACCTTCCGTACTACTTCATCAGCGTCAACAAGAGTGATTAACATAAGTTTAAAAAACTTGCTTCACAATGGTTGTAAAAAATATAGGTTATCTATAAATTTGAGTAAGTGAATATAGTATCCGAGCGCTGTCTGCCGTGCATAAACTTTCTTCTCAATAATCAACACGGCTAGGGTGCTTATATTTGACATGTATCATGATGGGATGTAGAGCTACCACATTTCTTAAAATGAATGACCTTGACCAAATTTTTAAACCACACGGGTCAAATGTGTTGAAATATTTAAACGATTTCTTCTGAATAACCAAAAGGTATAGGATGCTAATATTGGGCATGTAACAAGCTGGAATGAAGAGTTACAAAGCTTCTTTAAATAAATGACCTTGGCCCACATTCAAAATCACAGGGGTCAAATGAGTTGAAATCTTGAAGCAACTTCTTCTCCACAACTTAAATGGCTAGGATGCTGATAATGGGTATGTAGCATGATGGAATAAATGTCTACCAAATGTGTTGATATTAACGACCTTGACCTGCTTTCAGGGTCATAGGAGTCATGATATTTTTGTAGTTGCATGTATAAAGAATAGGATTTCAAGTTTGCAGAAAACGTTTTTACGAGTCTTCTTTTTAAGGTGTAGAGTAGTTGGGCAATTTTGGCCTATTTGACCGCTTTCATATATACAAATGTAGGTCTTTTGTCGGATGACTGTTAAGGCCTATGGGTCTCATATGTTACAATGATATGGCTACTTCAATTATATTGGTACCAGGTCTCATTTTACTACAAATAGGCTATAATTAAACGATATAGATTATGTAACATGTGATGACAGGTTGTATTTCTTGCAGGTCATTGTTGCTGAAATGCTGTGTGTTGATGACATTGTTCAGTATAGCACGTTACCTCAATTTCAATGGATACACCGGAGAAATGATCAGGACTTCGTTACGAAGAATTGCCTCCTCTAGACAGACCCAATACATCCAGACAGGTAAACCTGTCAATCATATAGCATTTATTAAGGTGCCTAAGGCAGCAAGTACAACGGTTCAGAATATATTTCTACGTTACGGAGATGAAAAGAATCTCACTTTTGCTCTACCAAGTGTGAATGTAGCGGGCGGCCGTGCGTTAACATCCCGCTACTTCTACCCACCACCAAAAAATGGAACATACGATATTACTTGTACACATATCACGTACAACAGGGCACAATTCGATAAAGTTCTACCAAATGATACTGTATATATAGCGGTAATAAGGGAGCCATTTAGTCATTTCAGATCTTACGTAAGATTTTCTAGAATGCAAAAGATTCTAAATTTACCTGGAGATAATCCAGTTTTGAAATATACTGGACAAAATAAGTTAAGGATCATAAATTGTGACCATAATATCTTTAAAAATTCAAATCATGTATTGCCGGTAATTGCACTCGTAGTTTCTCCAATATGTACCTAAAGTCATGTCAAAGGTGAAAGCACGTGCATCTGAAGGTCTTGCCGTTCCGCTCTAGTTAACTATGGTGGTGTGAAAAACTGACTGGTCTATTACTACAGAGGAATCTTGCAGGTTTTGATTCTGTTACTTCTAAGCTAAAAAAAAGTTGAATTTGGAAACATTTAATCAATTTGTAACGAAAACTTGAAAAACTAATCATGCGAAGACATTTAAATGATATGGAAGCCGCGCGAGCTATAGGGCTCCTTCAAGCTGGTCAAACTCAACGAAATGTGGCGGCACAGCTTCATGTTTCTCAGAGCTTGATTAGTAGGCTATGGAATCGCTATCAACAGACAAATAACGTCCGTCAACGCCCCAGATCTGGACGACCACGCTGTACGACAGCCCGACAGGACAGATTCATTTGCATCACGGCACGACGTCAGCGGTTTTTGAGTGCTCCTGTCTTGAATCTTCAGTTTCAGCGTACTACAAATCTAAGGATTTCATCCCAGACAATGAGAAACAGACTCCATGCCTCTAATTTACGAGCTAGAAGACCAGCAGTCCGACCAATTTTATCCAGAGGTCATCGACAATCCAGACATCAATGGGCCACTCATCATTTGAATTGGCAATTACGTCATTGGAGAAATGTTATGTTCACAGATGAGTCTAGGTTTTGTGTTGACTTCCATGACGGTAGGAGGAGGGTATGGAGAACCCAAGGAGAGCGCTATGCATACTGCTGTGTTGTCCAGCATGATCGCTTTCGTGGTGGGTCAGTGATGGTTTGGGCAGGGATCAGTGTTGACTTCCATACAGACCTCTACATCATAGACAATGGATCTTTAACAGCTGTTCGATACAGGGACGAGATTCTACACCCTATAGTAAGGCCCATTGCAGGAGTTGTTGGCCATGATTTTATTCTGATGGATGATAATGCTCGTCCTCACCGTGCTCGTGTGGTCAACGACTATCTTCAACGTGAAGCAATCGTTCGCATGGACTGGCCAAGTCGTTCTCCTGATCTGAACCCTATCGAGCATGCTTGGGACACCTTGCAACGCCGGGTTTCAGCTCGACCTAATCCGCCACAGAACCGCCAACAGCTTATGATTGCTCTGCAAGAGGAATGGCAGCGCATCCCACAGATCAGCCACCGACGACTAATAAGGAGCATGTGCAGACGTTGCAGGGCAGTTATTGATGTCAACGGAGGTCATACTGCCTATTAAACTGCCAATTGCAGTTTGATGAGTTTTCCTTGTCTACATTATTAACTTGCTCTACTTCCTCTTACACTTTGATTTCAAGGGTGCTGTTACTCAGGGTTATCTGCTCTTGGTAGCAATTACCACAAATGAATTTGTTTTGTGTAATTAAAGACTAAAATGAATGTTCTGTCATTAAAATTTAAAATATAATCATATTATTATTTGTATGTAAAACTGCACTGTTTCAAGTTTATGATCCTTAACTTATTTTGTTCAGTATATTTACGTAATGAAAAAAAAAGAAAATCTGGGGGTTACTCTTATCATTGTAATTTGATGTCACATTACTTTGGAATTCCCATGGCACGCGATAGGAAACCAAATCAAACTCGGGTGAAGGAATATTTACAAAAAATAGGCAAAGAAATAGATATTGTTCTAGTGTTGGAATTCTTGGATGAATCTATTGTGTTGATGCGACGAATCTTACACTGGGATATGAGGCATGTTTTGTACGCTCAACTTCGCATTAACATGCAGAAAGACCCTCGATTAAAGTTTGGATCAGATGCTGCCGAACTCCATAAATCTTGTGCCTTCTTTGATTATAAATTGTATGGGTTTTTCCTTAACAAACTAAAAGAAAATCTGAGAAGGCAACCGTCGGATTTTCATGACGAAGTAGTTTACTTCAGAAAAATTCGAACAAAATACGCCAACTTCTGTTTGTCTGTCATATCGGCCGAGCTACTAAACACTAGCGTTATGTTTGAGGGCAGTGCATGGAATAAGCCATTTGTTATCACACCGAAAGACTGTAAAAGACAGTATATTCACGATGTTGTGTTTTTAGATATGCTTAAAAAAAAGCAACTTAAACAGAATTGGAGGAAGTCGTGAATATCAACACGTATAAGATACGTAACACTCAGTATCATTGTTAGAGTAAGTAGTCTGCTGGACTGTGAAGCTGCGTATAAACTATCTCAATGTTGTGATATCAGTGCCATCTGTCCCCGTTAAGGCGCTGTCACACTCTAGCGTATGAGGAACGTATCGAATATTTCGAAAAATTGTTTACACGCACAACTTTTCAGCGTATGAGATCGATTTTCGGTTAATGACCGTTAGAGTAACATGAGCCTAGTGTACCGTCAGCTTATGAGTAGCGTACGCATAGTTCTATGTCAGCGTATATGAGAGTATGTGATGTGATGTGTATTTGAGTTGGACGTATACCGACGTATGAGTAACGTATATCAGCGTAACTCCGACGTATGAGACACGTATGCGGAACATCAGCCTAACGTATGAGGAGCGTACACGGCGGGGGGTATGAAAGTTTAACGATAACAACGTTAGCTAAGTTTGACCATCAAAATATCAGAAGATATGAGAAACAAGACAGAGCGTTGATAGAAATGTTATTTTCTTACGTAGACCTTAACGGCATATTGGTAAATTTTTCACGGTTATCTTAAATTTTTATTTTGTATCAAATTTAGCAGTAATTTGACGGAACAAAATACCGTATTATTTTGTTAACTTGTATAACACGTTAGGCATGAGTTGAATACGTTGGACTGTCGTTAGAACTGCCATCATAACGTTAGCCGATCGTTAGACAAACGTCAGACACACGTCAGAAACACGTTCATTATACGCTCCTCTAACGCTAGGTTTCCTGACCCACTCAATTTAAACGTATGAGAAGCGTACTCGACGTGTGAGTAACGTACCTTCAGCGTACCTCTAGCGTGTTCAGCGTATGAGGAGCGTAAAATTCATACGTCGGCATATGCTGAAATTTTTTGTGCATGATCAAAAATGTTTTTGGCCGTCAACGTACATTAGCGTACACCAACGTATCCCAGCGTACTAGAAACGTATTCCAGCGTACCCCTAGCGTGTTTCAGCGTATGTCAGCGTATGCCCAAAAAGCCCATACGTTCCTCATAAGCTGGCCTTATACGCTAGAGTGTGACAGCGCCTTTAGTCAACGTCGTGTCTATCTCCTGAACACCGGGAGAAATATGCCGTCACAAGATCGATCATAGTATAAACATTAATATATTAAGGAGGCCCTTTTGTCGATCACGAACTGAGAGGACCTGAGAGAAATGGAATTTATTATTACGGATTTTTATCAATGGAAATTATGTTTTTGATTCTTAAGGTACTGTTATTCGCTTTGTTTTATCCTTACTTAATCGTTATTTTTTTCGAATTTGATGTCAGACTTTTTGAAAAGTAGGTTTAATAAATTAGCTAACTTAGGTCCATTGAGGGATTAGGGATTTATCTAACGGTAGAAAGAGAAAAGTGTTAAACAGAGAGTTTATATAAAACGGAAACACAGCATTGTGATTCCTGGTCAATTTTGTTCATAACTACAATAATGGAACCTCGGTATGATACAAAAAGCTAGCGTCTTTTTTTAAATGCACCAGTGTGCAGTCGCCAAATATGTATCATGTACTGTATCTTAAGACACATGGACATAACCTATATTAGTTTTAACAATATGGTTTAGCAACCACTTTTATACCGAGACAGAAAATGCAACACTGGCATCAACATTAAACTAAGTTCTTTTAAATACCGTATATGTACGCATGTTTCTGTTTTTGATCGGTCAAGTGTATTCACGTGCGTCGTAAAGGCTAAGTATAAAATGTACGTGTACACTACAGCGATGTCTCGGTTTATACGCGTACTTGGTATATACTTCAGCGGTGAGTGACACTTGATTAATATTTGGTAACGAAAAAGACTGAAATTGTAAACAGTCTTCTCACATTTTTCTTTACATTTTTGTATTGATGTGTATTAACAATTTTATTCCGTTAATTTGAATTTTTACATTTACGAAAGATATGGTTAATGAAAGAGGAAGTGACAAATATAATATGTCAGGGTGATATATATATATAAAATTGAGATTTGAAGTATTGTGTTAGGGATATATACTGAATAATATTGATGGTGCATGTACAGGATTATATACATTATGTATATACACACGTAATGTTGGTTTTTGATATGTGAATCTATATTATAGATGGTAAACTATTAAAATGTTGGTATGTTCTCAGCCTTTTTTATAATGGTGTTATATAGTCTTTTTGTTTGTGATAAGGAAAAAGTGAACCAGGTAAGACTACTTAGGAGAATGTCAATGTCACATTATACCGATGTTACACATGATAAACCTAGATAGTATAGAGGAAGCCAAATGGAAAGGTAGAGAGGAGGGGATTAGAGGACGAGATGATATTGTTTATTGGAAAAAGGTCACTTCAATTGGGTTCATCAATGTTGTAGTATTGTGACGTTTTACCTTTAGTTGCATGACAAACGGTTGATAATGCAGCAACTGTCGAGGTCTTTCATCGGATAAGGTAAAGCGTAGACTGTTTTTATCTGCTTTTTAAGGGGAAACGATATATCGGTCTTAATGAATAATCATTCCTGGAAGAAGGGAGAACGTTAATAGGCACCAGAATGGCAGTATACAGCAAATGTTTGTTCTTTTTCAAGTTAAAGCAAAGCGACTGTTCTGTGTAATAATACACTTCAGTTTGAAATTACGCTTGAAATTAAGGATCAAATTCTTTTTCTAGAAATTGAACTTTTTGATCGACAGATAACCCTGCTGTCTCTTTATGGACGCAATGATGATAACTGCCTTTATTGATAGTTTACAAGGTAAACTAGAAAACGTTCGACAATCGCCCGGAGTTATAACCTAAATAAAGCCAACAAAACACTGAAGTAAAACGAAACTATATTTATTTGATGTATGGAGCGAACGTAACCCGGATCTAAGAAGATATACTTGGAGAGAGGTCCAGAGAAAATGCAGGCCAAGCTAGAGTATTTCTTAGTGTCTGTTTACCTAGGTTATTTCATTACTAACAATGATATTGCTTTTATCTCTATTAATTTTGTAAATAAAACCAAGGTACAGGAACTTGGAAATTGAACAACTCATTACTTCATGACAATGTATACGCCACATTTATGCGCACGTTGTGCGGATCTATCGTGGTTGATATAAATTTAGAAATGACTTATAAGAAAGTGTGGGATAGGATTTCTTTATTTTCAACGTATATAAGAATACAACTAAGCATAAAGTATATTTCATAATTAAGCCATTTATCATATGCACTGTTGAACACTTGCAAATACATGTATATTAGATACACACTGAATAGTTAGATATAACAGTGATTTTAAGTGTTTTCATTCATTTTCAAAATAAAAAAAATATATGCTCAGGTAAAAATTAGTGTTGTGTTTATTACCAACCGGTGCGGATCCAGATCAGAATCTTTGTTAGTCGCAAGCTTTACGACTCATTGGCACAAAAGAAGTACATATACATAAACATATATAATATATAATACATACATGTAGCATCGACCAAATCCACCCTCACCCTCAAACACACACACTCTCAAACACCATCACCCACACCCTCAAATACACACACTCTCAAACACCATCACCCACACCCTCAAACACACACACTCTCAAACACCATCACCCACACCCTCACACACACACGTACACACACACACACACACACACACACACACACACACACACACACACACACACACACACACACACACACACACACACACACACACACACACACACACACACACACACACACACACACACACACACACAAACACACACGTACACACACACGCGCACGCACACCCTCAAACACACACACT